AACTGTCAGAACAGTAGACAGTACCACAGTATTGTGAACCAAATCTTAATTACTTCCTGGATTTGCAGTAACAGAAGAGAAGAGGAAAATGTAAATCAGGAAGGTTGTTTGAGGAGCCGGGAGATTTCATGTTCTGGTGTAAGGTCTAGGCCAAGGTTAAAGTTTGCAGAGTGAAGACAGTGCCTCCTGTGTTTGTGTGGTTTTGCTTCACAGTCAAATGCAGTTACTTAAAATGGGTTAATCGTACACCTTTCTAGGTGTGCTTCTATCAGTTGCTTGTTAAGAAGTGATGGGAGAAGCTGAACAATAAGTCCTCACAATGAATGTTTTAAAGATGTGGATTTTAATACCCTGGTAAGAAATGAAGTAAGCTGTAAAGCCAACACTGGAGTACACACCACTTTCCAGTGCTGCGATTTCTTGTAATATTTAAATAGATCTGACTCGGCTTTTAGATGAAAATAATGAATATCTTTCCTGCTGAAGCAAATGGGAAGATAAAGATGTTGTCTGACGTTTTTATGCAGTGGCCTAGGGATCTCCTTAAGAAACATATCGTCTAGTTTCCAGTTACTGTGGAGAAATGGAAGTTCAGTGTTACTTATGTTGAAGTCATAAATTGTTTTTGATAAGAATTCTAACCATTTGGGTGTTTACATAACGTCGTCCAGCAGATCAGTTGGTTCATTGCCTTGGGGTTCACCCCTTCCCTCTGGTAGACTGAGCTCCTCCAAGCTGGCGTGTGAAGGAGGGGGTCACGACTGGTCTGCTCTAGCTGAGATGGGTATTGGCTAAGACCTGCTCTACCCCTCAGCCTTGTTTCACTAGGTGCGGCCCTTTTTCCACCGGACAGGTAGGCTGGCTTGGAGCAGAGCCAGAGGGGCTCTCTGGGAGACCCGTTGGCGCTGTGTCGTTCATGCCCACCTGTTACAGATCAGAGGTCCAAGGGGGGGCAATATTTGGCTCAGCCAGGGATGCCAAAAACTGCTACAGAACAGGTACACCGTGGCCCAGACTGCAGAGGATGGTATACTAATACTATCCAGACCACCTAATGGGCCCTGTGGTTCATCGAGAATTAGAAAGACATCTATGAATGCCAGAGATTTGTGAAAAGGAAAGGAAATGTTTATTTAATGCTATGCAGACCTAACATAGTGACCCAACATCTTCATTAAAATATCAAAGTCCTTTAGGATATCCACCTACTCACACAGTGCGCTTCCTTCCCCCCTGCTGTAATTCAGGGGACCGTAACTCAGGAAAAGAGTGTATGTCCATATTTCCAGGCTGCTAGCACCTTCAGCTGTGTTGATGTCCAGGCAGGATTTCCAATTAATCCAAAGTCATGTGGCACCTTCTCATGGTCCACTGGCAAGAGTTCTTTGTACCTATTTTTCCAGGCAAAGTCTCTCTTGCTTCCTAGGCCACTCAGCCAAAGGGAGCACCCCAAAGCTGCGTGGGCCTCTTCTACCAAAGCTGCAGGGGTCTGCACTCCGCCAAAAGTGTGTGGCTTTCTTCTTCACCTGGCTGCAGGGGTCCCTGCTTTGCTAAAACCATGTGGCTCTCCCTTTCACCTGGCCAAGAGGGGGTCCTCACTCTGCTAAAACCGCATGGCTCTCCTAGTTGGCAATCCCCACACCAGTCTTCCTCTGTACCCCTATTTCTTTTTTTTTTTTTTAAGATTTTATTTATTTATCTTTTAGAGGGAAAGGGAAGGAGAGAGGGAGAGAAACATCAATGTATGGTTGCTTTTCGGGCGTCCCCTGCTGGGAATTGGCCTGCAGGGAACTGGCCTGCAACCCAGGAATGTGCCCTGACTGGGAATCGAACCGCGATTGTCTGGTTCGCAGGCCCGTGCTCAATCCACTGAGCTACACCAGCCAGGGCTGTACCCCTATTTCTGACTCCTCCCATGATCAGTTACACTGGCAGGTGTATTATTTCTATATTATTGCAAGTTTACAGGGCTGCCATCGTGAGTCTGGCCAGGTATGGCCCCATGTCCTGGAGCCAGTCTTCTCCAAGCTCCCATGCAGGTGCTGTAACTCGGGGGACCTGTCCCCCAGTTACATCTTGGGGGAAAGTGACTTCATCCCCCTGGCTCCAAGCCTGGCCACAGCCATTTAACATATCTAAGTGACCCACCAAAGGCTACGGATATGTTAAATGACCAGGCCATGGATTAGCTGCAAGGCTGTGGCTGTACTAAACAGCCCTGCATGTTCCTGCTCCATGTGTCCCTTCCCCCAACTCACACCTGTGGGGAAGAGGTGAGGACATCTTATATGTCTCTCCAATAATTTCTATACACCTTGAGTTCTGGACATCATTCCACATTTCTTTTTGGGGCCCCCCTCTTGGCTGCACCCTATATCCTGCCCACATAGCTAGTCCACTAGGGCACCTCTCGGTCTATGAAAACTTTCCCCTTGAAGTTGTGGTTCTCCCCTCAAAAAACAATAAAAAAAAACTGTCAATACTCTGGTTTCCTCTCAGTGCAGATGACAGTGAATTCGTTCGCTTAACTCACACTCATTCAAAGACCAGATGAAGGAAGGAGAGTGTGTAGGTGGGCCTAGTCGGTGCACGCCCGCCTCACTTCCCAAAGGATGGCCATTGCAGGTCCGCAGGTCTTTCTGTTAACTAACACACGCGTGTGTCTTTAACACAGAGCTTTTTTAGAACTCCTGCACCGCTTAAACATTCTACTCCGAATCACTAAACAGAGCCCTCACTGTGTAGTGTTTTTCAAACTTATTTGACAATGCAACCACATTTTTTTCGGGAGCTCGCACATGTTGGTAATTGCTAATTGCTATTCCGAGACTAGCCCCCTGAACAATAGAAACATTTTTTTCCCCGCTGAGTTATATTTTAATGTTATGCCTTTTGGGGAGTACTGACATTAGAAGGAGCTCTATGAAAGGCCATTAGCATTGTTGAAGGCATTGTCCAGTGTGTTGATTAGCGTTCTCAGAATAAATTCCTCCTGTGATTTAAGGCTTGGTAAAGCGATGTGTTTTCGTTTTTTTGTCAGTTGAGATTTATATAAGCCATTATGCCTTTTTTTTTTTGCCTTGCCTCTAAGGCAACTCAAATAAATGTAGCACACAACACGGTAATTATTGCGCTCTCATGTTTAGCATACTAAGAATTCTTACCCTCCCCCTTTATTTACACAGCTTCGTCTAGTTAGAGCCCAGCTGTTGAGCTTTGCTTTCTTCGTCTTTACTGTTGGGAATCTACCATTTGGGTCATTGTGAAAATCATATGAAATATTCTTTTTCCATTGCTTAGTCATGTGCCCGACACACTGTAGAACGTTCAGTAAATGCTGTAGGACTTTTTAAAAATTTTCACATTTTCTAGTTCTAATTTTACAACCATATTTCATACACATCTTTACCAGTTCAGTCTTATTTAGAAGTGAGAAGTATAAATACTAAAAAAAAAAAACAAACCCAAAGATGATAAGCATCACATTAAGAACATTGGTGTAGTGGATGGGAAGGACTGACGTGGGGTAACCGGGAATAGAGTTGGTGAAAGAGGTGATGTGTCCCCGGTCAACGGTGTCTCCAGGATTTGGGTAATTAGGGAAGTAGCAGCAGACAAACACACCTCCACCCAACAACTCGATGCCTTTCTGAGCAAAATGCTAGCTTGAATTTGAATCTGAGTCACAGTTTCAAAGTAGCTGCAGCTCTCTTAGCATTTTTGGTTGTGTTGCATGTTTGTGCGTAAGTGGAAAAGAGCGAGTTCCTCCCAGGGGTGTTTATAGGCCCAGAAGTTGGGAAGCAGACTTACAATTTCTTAAATGTGAAGTGTTGTGAGTACCAGGCCTTTTGGGGATGAGCTAGAACAGACTGGGCATTTGGTCTCTGTCTCCCACTCACCAGGGACACATGTGAGGTACTCTGGGTTTTATTTTCAATGGGTGCGACCCATGTGAGGGGAGGCGTGGCGTGTCTGAGGCACAGGGCAGAGGGTTCACATCCTTCCCTTCAGCTCTCCGACCGCTACTGTCCAAAGGCCAGTGAGCTGGCTCGCTGGTCCCTCAGCCATGGCCGCACACGGCTGGGGTCCTGGGCTCAGTGACGTATAATTTGTCATCCGAGCTACCCTTTTCCGAATGAAAGGGGGCACTGTTAGTAATTAGGCCAGGACAACGTAAATAAAACAGTCCTGGGCAAACTGGACATTTGGGCATTTTAGCTAATAACCCCTTTTCTGCCTGCTCTTCAAAAACGAAGAGGTTTTGTGTTTTGTGTTACGTTCAGCCCTCCTGATGGGCCTCTGCTCACTGCAGTAGCAGAGACGTTCAGAAGACCCTCTCCCCTGCCTTGATTTTTTGAACCATGTGTTTTATTTTCTGATTCGGGGTGTGTTTTCTTTTTGTATTCAAAATCACTACTATTGAATCCTATCTAATCAGCTATCAGACTGTCTCATAAATTATTTAGTCAGTCCTAATGATTCTTTCTTTAGACTCCACCAGCCAGGTAATACCCGGGGGGCAAATGAAGGGGCAGAAGGGAAGCGGCGGCTCTCAGCGCCGATGCCCAGTCGCACTGCATACCCGGCAAAGGCCGAACCCTGGATCCTTCAGGCTTTTACAACATTGCTCTCATTTTTCAGTTTTTTTAAAAAAAAATATTTTATTTATTTATCTTTAGAGGAGAAAGGAAGGAGAGAGGGAGAGAAACATCAATGTATGGTTGCCTTTCATGCATCCCCTGCTGGGAACTGTCCTGCAGGGAACCAGCCCACAACCCCGGTATGTGCCCTGACTGGGAATCGAACAGCGATTGTCTGGTTCACAGGCCCGCGCTCAATCCACTGAGCTATACCAGCCAGGGCTCTCATTTTTCAGTTTTGCAGTTATATTTAGGCTGTTGCAATTAAATTAATGTTGGTAACTCTCAACGTTCAAAACCAGTGTAAACGAAAGTTAAACTTGTATGCCTTGTATGCCCTCCCCACCCTTGTCTTAACAGAAAAAAGCTTGGCCGGACCACAAGCGGGAATGCAAATGCCTTAAAAGCTGCAAACCCAGACACCCTCCGGATTCTGTCCGACTGCTGGGAAGAGTCGTTGTCAAACTTGTGAGTATGGGACTTGTACAATATTCTTGGGTTTTAATGTGGCCAAAGCGCTGGCAGTCGTGTGTACTATTCTTATTTGAGGCTAGAAGGTGGGTCACCCCAGGGAGTGCTCGTGTCCACACACGCAAGACCTCAGTGGCTGTGACAGTGGGCACGGCCCCTCCCTGAAGGCCCTGAGTATCATCTCCCGGGACTGGGGGCACGAGGTCCTCTGCGCGTCGCACGAGATATTCGTGACGTCCGCTCCGTTGCCTCGATGACTTTTGTACTGTGCACACATGCACAGGGTATGTATTTACAGTTTTTTCTGTTGCTCCTTCAACTGAGATTGCAATTTGATGATAATTAATCTTACCTGGAAGAGTACTTACTTTTTTACTTACAGTCGAGATTCAGCAGAGTTGTCCCTGCAGTTCTTTTCCTTGCTCTGCTAAAACAGCTAGTGGATTCTGTGAAATCCCCCTGGGGTGACCCCTGACCCCCGTATTTTGGGGCCAGGCTTCAGCAGGCATATCTCTTTCTCAAATAATTGCAGGCTCTCCTGTCCTGTTTTTTTTTTTAATTGACTTTTTTTTGGCTATAAAATTTTATAGGGGTTTTTAAGGATGTCAAAGTATGATTATATCTCCAGAAGTAATAGTGTTATATATAATCTTAATTTAAAAAAAAGATTTGCATTGGGCCTTCTCGGTGGACTAAATATACAGCACACATACTTACTAGTATTTTCAAATGCGTGCCTTGTGTTCCACTAATAAATACATGTTTATTTCAAAGCATTAATAAATTCAGAGCAACTTTGTCTTTCCGCATTACTTTAACCACTGGACATGAAAAGTACAATGACTATTATATTTGAGTGTGAACATTTTTCTATTTTATTAATAGTGCAAAGATAGAGAATCACGGGTGGGGCAGAAATGGGTTGCTTCTGAATCACCCGGGGTCCTAGCTCTCAGTCCCCACCCCAGATCTACTGAAGCAGGATCAGGTGGAAAGCAGTTGGGTCTGTAGTTACTTCCTGCCGAGCACTTCCTGTTTCCTGGCCCTGGGGCAGGTGCTTCACTGACGTGTCTCACGTCATCCCCGACAGCCCGGTGGTCAGGCGCTGTCATTACTTCTTTGTTCCAAATCTGGAGATCGACTCCTCTCGACCCAGGTTTCAGTAACCTGCCCCAGGTCGTACAGTCTGTAATAAATTATTGTATTTTTATTCATCATCTTTGCTCTTTATGGTAATTTTTAACAAAATCCTAACAGCGACACAGATTGTGTGAATAGAGCTGGGGGAAAAGACAAAAGTGCGCAAACCTGTGAAGGAACTTTGCATTTGGAAATTGAAGGGGTGATCGTGGCCACTTTTAAAGTTGTTACTGCTTAGTTCAACTCAAAGTGACGAAGAGAAGGAATGTACGGTGTAGGATTTTTTTTTAAAATAGACTTTGATTTCAATGTCTAAAGATACTCATATTCCTTTAAATACTGGAAAACTTGAAATGGTTTTTGGTGTCTTTCCCTTTACTTCATAGATGGGAGAAACCCCCTCTGAATCGGAGAAACTTTACTCATTTTATGATCTGGAATCAAGTAAGTGATTGCCTACCAGCGTCCAACAAAAAATTCCTGTCATTGATTTGCTGAGCTGGTGAATTGCTTTGTTTTTTTTTAGTCTCTCTGTTATGTGAGGATAATCTTTAATTTTTTTTAAGCATACATATTTAACTTTATCATTGTCATTTAAAGCTTGATTTTATAAAACAAAAAAGGCCTTTTTAAGAATTCTGCATCACCAAAATTTAAGCAGTAGATATGGCAATAGCTTTGTAAGTATGAATTATATACATTAAATCAAGTAATCGGAGATTTTATTATTTGAGAAAAATCTAACATTAGCTTATTTAACATATTCCGAGGTAGCTCTGGCTGAAAAGGAGTTCATAAAGTGCCAGGTTAGGCGGCGAGGGGAGTGTCACCTTCAGTGACACTCAGGTGAGGGGAGTGTCACCGCCCATCCAGTTGACACAGTTACTTTTTCCCTCCCTTCCTGTCTTCTTCCCACTCTTGGTTTCTTTCTGGTGCCAGGGAAGAGGGATGCGAGCAGGGTGGGGCTGTGCTGTTGCAGGGACCATTCAGGGTCAGCGGTCCTTTAGATGGTGAGGAGAGGAGCTATACAGGTGACCGAGGCCCTGGGCAGCCTGGAGTGCTGTTCTTCTCCCGAACCTCCTGGTACGGGCCCCACCGTGTGGGAATAGTGAAGGGCTTTCCAGATCTGAGCGTTAAGTAAACGTAGGGTTTATATTTTCTTCATATTGGCACAGCTCCTCTTCACTAGCAGGCTGTGAATGACTTGCACCCCACATAGCCAGAGCTCATAGACTGAGTTGGCCACACACTTTATGTTCCTGGGTGGCGGCAAATCTCATGTAGACTTATGGCTGTTGGATCCTGAGTGCCAATGCCAGTGAATTATTATTTGAGACTCACCCATCGTTAGAGAGACAAAAATCAAAACAACAGTGTGATAACCGTCTCACACCCATTAGGATGGAAACTGTCAAAAAAAAAAAAAAGGAAGTAGCGAGTGTCAGAGAAGAGGTGGAGAAATTGGAACCCTTGAGCACTGTTGGTGGGGATGCAGAATGATGTGGCTGCCATGGCCAACGGTGCAGAAGTGCCTCAAAAAATCAAAAACAGAATCGCCATGTGACCCTGGATTCTGGCGTCACACTCACAAGAATTGAAAGCAAATGTTCATTCATATTTGTAGCAGTGTTATTGTATTATTCACGATCGCTGAGACACAGAAGCAGCCCAAGTGTCCATCGATGGATGAATGGATAAGCAGAAGGTGATACACACACACACACATTATTCACCCCCGAAAAGGAAGGTGATACTGACCTTTGCTGCAACATGGGTGAGCCTTGACGACATTGTGCTTGGCGAAGTAATAAGCTAATCACAAAAAGACAAATACTGTATGATTCCACTTACATGGAAGTACTCAGACTGGCCGAAATCATAAAGACAGGAAGTGAGATGGTGGTTAGCAGGGCGGAGGGCAGGGATGACTGGGAAGTTACTGTTGAGTGGTTACTGAGTTGCAGTTTTACAGACTGGAAGGGGTCATGGAGATGGGGCAGTGGTGATGTTTTTGTATCACAGTGCGCGTGTATGTGACACTACTGTACCCTTAAAAATGGTTACAGTGGTCAATTTTATGTTTTATATATTTTACCACAAGTTCAAAAAGAAGAAAAAAGAAGTCACAGGGTTATTCGTTCTGTTGAACAAGTAATTTAAAGAAAACGTGTAGACCTGACGTGAGCAATGGAGTTATGCTGTGTCGTTCAACTGATACCTCTTTTCAAGTTCTAACAGAGAGCTAATTAGTCATTTTGCTCTTGACATGTTACTGCTCGGTAATTAACACCTCTTGCGGTGAGTTTCACTATTAGCATTAGCCCTTCAGCTGCAGTGGCCTACACACTGCCTTAAGTGAAATGCTCTCCAACAGTATGAATTGAATTGTGCATGCTTAGCCTTACCACCTTTTTGTGGTATAAATTAAACTGAGTTTTTCAAAAACGGTGAACTTTTGATCTTCTTTTTCTTATATGATTCCCTTTGGCATTTCATGTAATAATGGCTTGTTGATGATGAACTCCCTTATTTTTACCTTATTTGGGAAGTACTTTATCTGCCTTTCCATTCTAAGTGATAGCTTGGTTGGATAGAGTCATCTTGGATGTAGGCCCTTGCTTTTCATCACTTTGAATACTTCTTGCCAGTCCCTTCTAGCCTGCAGAGTTCCTTTTGAGAAATCAGCTGACCGTCTCATGGGAATTCCTTTGTAGGTAACTCTCTGCTCTTCTTTTGCTGCTTTTAAGAATCTTTCCTTATCTTTACTCTTTGGCAGTTTAATTATGATGTGCCTTGGTGTGGTCCTGCTTGTGCCCATCTTTCTTTGGGACTCTGTGCCGCCTGGACTTGTATGTCTATTTCCTTCACCAAATTAGGGAAGTTTTCTTTCATTATTTCTTCAGGTAAGTTTTCAGTTTCTTGCTCTTCCTATTCTTCTGGCACCTCCATGATTTGGATGTTGTTACATTTAAAGTTGTCCCAGAGGTTCCTTAAGGAGTCTGTCCTCATTTTTTAAAAAATTCTTTTTCTCTTCTTGCTGTTCTGATTGAATACTTTTTTTTCTTCCTTGTGTTCCAAATGGTTGATTTGATTCTTGGTTTCCTCCCTTCCCCTGTTGGTTCAGGAACAGAATCACAGACATGGAGATTATTTGGAGGCTTATCAGTTGGGAGGGAGAAGGGGCAAAGAGGGGGGAAAGGTGCAGGGATTAAGAAGCACAAACTGGTAGGTACAAAGTAGACAGGGGGAGGTAAAGAACAGTATAGGAAATGGAGAAGCCAAAGACCTAGTATATATGACCCATGGACATGAACTAAGTGGGGAATTGCATTAGGGAATGGGGGTACCTGGTGGAGGGGGGAAAAAGAGGGACAACTCTAATAGCATAATCAATAAACTATATTTAAAAAAGTAAAAAAGGTGAACTTTTTTCTTCAGTGTCAGTTGAAGCAACATCGTGTCTTGTTCATGCAACCAGGAGATAACCTGGAAGCTGAGATTTCTGTGATCCAGGTTTTCCTGTTGATATACTTTCTAACGATAAATTTGAACCATTTGAATGTTAGCTTAACTTTTTAGTACTCACTTTCAGGGTTTGTTTTTTCTTTTTCCCTGTGAGATGCTGCTGCTTCTCAGTCGTGACCTGGTTATAAATTATTTTGTGGAAACATCTGCTTACATTCACTACTTCACAAGCATTTATCATGGTTAGAATGCGTGCACAGGATGATGTAGAAAATCTGGGGATGCATATAAATCTGGGGATGCATATCTTTACTGGTTTCTTAAATGTTTTTTCATCTGTACGTGTGTTAATTTTGTTTCGATAGGTTTTCGATCTTGTAGATAAACTTTCGCAGAATTGAATTGCTAGCGTATGCATCACGGTTTGCAGTTGTCAGAAACTGAAAAGATATGTGTTTGCTCTTTGTCGGAATGGAATCCAGGCAGGAAGTACCTGCTTTAACAGTTCCCTTTGGACACCTAAAGATTGCCCATTAAAAGTTCACTGTGCGATTGTGCTGTTTATTTTCTCTTTCACAAAGACGTGAGCAAACTGACTGAAGATAAGAAAGAGGGCATCAGGCAACTTGCCGTGACATTTCAACATTTCATGAGAGAAGAAGTACAGGACATGTCTCAGCTGCCGCCTGCCTTCGACATTTTCGAAGCCTTCGCAAAAGTAAGTGTGAGGTTCGGTGTCTTTGCTAACGCCGTAAACCGACCTTGAACTCTTCATTTTGGTGTCGATCCTTGGAAATCCTGTCTCATGTCACTCTCCTACCTTCATGTGTAAAGAATGAAAGAATGCATCACTTATATTGGAACAGCTATTACTTTTAATATTTTATCAGTATTCTTATTACGGACCCACATACATTGTTCACTGACGTGTAACATGCTGTTTTGCACTTTGGTAACAAAATTTGTGAGGGTTCTAGTAGTACCCGCAGGATTTCTGGAGGGGCCGCTGCAGAGTGACCATCTGGTTGGAGGGACAGCCTGAAGGGATTTGCCTGAAGCTTCCTCTGCACAGCAGCTTGTGTGCACACGCGTGTGTTTTAGATTGTGCGTTACCTGGGGATGTGTGGCTGAGTGGAAGGAGAGGTGTGAGGTGCGAGGAAAGTGATGCTGGTCACCGACACTAAGGAAGGTGGCCGCGGGGTAGGGGGTGCATTGCAGATACTTGTTAGTGGGGCCCTGGACACGGGCAATTATTACATGTTCATGAAAAAAGCAGGCAAGTTCATCTCTGCCGTCTCTTTGTTACGTTGATTGTGGAAGAGAAGCTGCGTGTCTCCGTGAGCCCCCCTCTTGCTTCCCACCCCACAGTTTTTATTTCCCTGCTTCTATCTTCACACACAGTTTCCCAGTAGATTTCAAACTGGGTTTATCTTGGCGTGACAGTTGCAGTGGTTCAGTTTACTGATCGAGTTCTAAACATTTCCTACAAATACAGAAAATGCATATATGAATAACAATAAAGATAAACTTAAAATCCGAGAGAATGACGGAGGACAAATTTGAAGAAGACACCAAATAGTATGAAGGTTAAGGGATGTTCTCAGACAAGTCAGTGGAAGTCCCTCAACCGCAATGTCCTCGTCTGTGCATGGGAAAAGTAAAAATAACATCAAACTGTACAGATAAAGCACATAGAGTGTCTCCCAGCACTGCTGCCCGCCACTCCCAGCTCTGTTCACTGTGAGACTCGGATGTTTCGCATCCCTCTGTGCTGCCACAGAGAAGGCCGCCTGCAGCTGATGATGAATGCGAGTCTCGGGTGGTTACAGCTGTGCCCCGGGCTGATGTGTCTCCTGAGATGCTGGGAATTACCTACCTTGTTTAAGAAGAAATTTTGCAAACAGGAAAGAGTACCTTGTCTGTGGCGGCTGGCTTGGTTTCAGCCTGTAGCTATCGTGGACAGAACTCATATACTCTTTGCTGCATTCCTAACAACTGCATGGCTTCCCAGTAGTTCCTTGGGATACCACGAAGGAAATGCGGAAACAAGCTTTCTCTAATGAATGAAATGTTTCTCACACATGCATCTTAAGAAGATGGAATTAAATCTAAAAGTCATCCAGTTGTCATGGTCTATACACTGAAACGATGAGGAATGTATAGTGTTTCTCTGTTGCATCCTTCAGAACGTTTGCTGATAATTGGTAATGGTTATTAATGACCTAAACTTTGTGACAGTAGTTCTGACGGTGAGCTTATTTTCTAGGCACAGAATATAGGTTTTAGAAAAATGTATTTACTTGTTTTCCCAGCCTGGTAACTTCCTGTTCTAAAAATACATTTGGTAGACTAGAAATGTGATACGATCTGGAAAAGAAAGCAGAAAATGAACTAGTTGCATAAAACGTTTCAAAAACAGGCAGTAAATTGGAAGCAGCAAGAATAAAAGTGACCTTCCTGGCCACAAAATGTGTCATTGTTAGTGTTTCCACAGCTCGGCAAAGTACTTTGTAACTTCATAAAATTGTACAACTGCCAGGGAGGTTTTTGATTAGAAATTCTACATCTGTTTGAGAAGATGTTCCCTCCTTTTTTCCTTTCAAACAAAATAATAATCCTCCTGGTAGCATGTTATTTTTATTCTTTAGGGCACGTCTGTGACCTCCAGAACTTGCCTGTCCAAACTCTAATTTTTTTTAAAGATTTTATTTATTTATTTATCTTCAGAGCGGAAGAGAAGGAGAGAGGGAGAGAAACATCAATGTACAGTTGCCTTTCGTGGGTCCCTGCTGGAAACTGGCCTGCAGGGAACCAGCCTGCAACCCTGGCATGTGCCCTGACCAGGAATCGAACTGCGACTGTCTGGTTCGCAGGCCCCCACTCAATTCACTGCGCTACACCAGCCAGGGCCCAAACTCTAATTTTTGATGCTATCATTGGCAGCTGGTTTTGCAACGTACAGTGTGATTGCATAGCTCTGAAAGTGGGGGTTTTAGAAGGTGTTTTTTTGGACTGTGATACTTAAATTTTACATTCAATTTGATTCTTAGTAAATTTCTTTTATTGGAGAGTTTTTTTTTTCATTAGTGTAACAATGGAGAATGTGTTAAAACAAGAATCTTGCCAATTCATAGTATGAAAAGAAATAGAAACAGTATTTTTCATTGAGATACATTAGAAATGAGACAGAAGAATAACGATTGTATTCAAGATTAGATACTTGCATTTGGCTGGTATGTGCCATTAGATACATAGAGTGTTAATAGATGATCTGTGCGATACTCCGCCATGACCTCCTGGTTTTAGTGGTGTTATTTATCAGCACGGAGGGAAAATTACGAAGTAACTGTCCTTTTATTTGCTGAGGAACAGTGTACCTCAGTAAGAAACAATAACAAGTTGTTCATGATATATTAAGTTTTTAATTTTCAGGTTTCAGCTCGGTCGGCCCTCATTCTGGATATGGTGGCATTTTATTACTTCAGAGTTGCTGGTAGGCTAATTTGTGGGAAGAATATTACCTTTGTTGGTTGGAAAGGTCGGGTATGTGTGTATATTTGCCCCTTGAGGGTTTCAAGTTCCTACAGGACCAAATTTTAGAGCTTTTTGTTGATCAGCTTAGTTGGGTTTCCCCACTGTCGCTTGCTACAAAGTAGTAAAGAAAGCAGTCTTTTGAATTAATAACGTGATGAATTATCTAATTACAAACCGATGTGAAATGGCAGTGTGATAACTTTGACTGCATCACTAAATGATCCCAGTGACTGATCAGATGTTTCTGGGTTCCATTAAGGAAAAATATGCCATTAAATATTTAGTACAAAAAGCAAGCACGCACACCAGGATAGCTAACCTCCAATCACTGGGTTGCATGTGTCTGTGTATTTGGGGGTAGCTGCCGGGCGAGAATCTCTCTCGTCTGCTTGGAACAGCTGCTGGAAGACTTAGTTACTGGGATTGTACCTCTTTTTTGTTTAAAGTAAAGCAGGCAGACCCTGGCATTCTAATTACCAAATGCTGATGCATTTACAATAGATTGACTCTCCGAGTAGATTCCGGAGACAATTATTCTCAGGAATGTTCTTTGAAGTTAAGTGACATTTGTAGGACACTTGGGCTTTCTAAACAAAACAAGTCATGTGTTTCAATGATGATATTTACCATGTTCTTCATTTTTAGCCATTCAGTGAATATTTCTCTTCATTTTATGTGTAAATAACCCGTGTTGAGTTGGTGTGTATTTATCATAGTTAGAGACCAGATGCCAGCTAACTTCTGAAGTTGGAAGGATAATTAGTAAATTCTTAATCAGCATTTTTATTTATGCCTGTGTTGGTCAAGGTTAATTACTTATATGAGGCTAATGCTTTGATTAAAACTACTGATGGATAAAGATGTTTGTCAAGCCTTGTTACCTCACCTGTTTGAGTGTATCACTTGCCATTAATTCAGATAGAGGTGATGTTTTTAAATGATAGCATGTTACTGTGAAGTGGTGGCAGTTACTTTCGTTGCTTCTGACTCCCCTTTAGTGACAAAAAACCTCGACCGGAGTACTCTGTTTCCCTACTAGAATGTGGCTTTCTTAGAGCCAGGAATTACATTTTATTTATTTCGAATTCCATGAAAACTGTACCTCTTCAGTTTTATGGAGTACACTTTATCCAGTGCATTCAGAAGTCAGTACATTGCTGTAAGCATACAAGACTGTGTAGAAAGAAGCCTTTGTCATGGTGAAATTAAAGAAGTTCAGTGAGTTAGTTGACAGCTCAGAATCTCAGAGGCTGACTTTACCCTCAGTTCTTTGGGAAGTGGTGGATCATTACATTGATTACTCTGGGGTTAGCCAACCCTTTCTGTAAAAGCGCATATAGTCAGTATTTTAGGCTTTGTAGGCTGAGGCAGCGTGAATTATTACCTCGTGATGGTGGTTTGCATTGCTCAGTGAGGGGGCTGTTTACGGTGCGCGCGGCCGCTCCTTACCTCTGCCCCGAGAGCCGCCAACTTCCGTGGATGCCATGTAAGTGGACGGGTGTGGCTGTGTTCCAATAAAACTTTGTAGACACTGAACACTGACTTGCCTATAATTGTCACTTTGGCTCACCTGTCATTCTTTCTATTTTTCTCCCAACTGTTTACAAACGTAAGAACACATTCTTGGCTCGTGGGCTGTGCTGAACCAGCTGGTAGGTCGGAGTTAGCCTGTGGGCCATGGTTTGCCTACCTGTAAGTTATAGTTTCTAAGCCAAAAGCTTTTGTAATTTTTTTTTGCGCTCAGTAGGAAACGGATTAGGGCATCAGACATTTCTCTAATTAAAAAAGTAGGCTGGGAAATAGTTTGTCCACCACTTTCTGACAAAGCATTAGTTCTGCAGTTTCGTGTTGCCGGTCACATTTGTGAGCACACTGGGTGGACAGCGACTGTTTCCTGAGTTTCCTTTTCTACTCCTAGAGCATTCAGTTCAGTAACTTAGAAACGTTTTAACTCAGTAATGCAGTAGCGGACAGAGAGAGTTTCATTTAGGTTAGGAAGAAATAAAATAATAGTCAAGCAGAAGAAGATGCATATTTCATGAATGTCTTCCATACATTATCATCCCTGGTTTTTTGTTTTTCTTAATACAGGTGTCATGTGCTGTTGTTTTTTCTTGAAATGAAATGTAATGATACAGTTTTCTAGTAGAATTATTTTGGCTGCATGACTCAGGTTCTGAAAGT